GATTCTGTGTTAAGACGTGTTTGATCTTCATTTAATATTTGAATACCATCTGATAAAATATTTATTGACCCAATAATATCTTGTAATTGATTTGTACGATTTTCTAAAGTTAACTGTGATGCATTTATCGGATGATCATTTGTTTTTAAATGATGAAAAATATTCATTAATGTCATTTGATGTTGTTCACTTCGATAATGTTCATTTAAATTGAAACGAAGTATCTAAATACAAAACGTTTTATTAAATCAATAATGTATATCAATAAATATATGTACTATTTGTTCACATCCGAATTCTTTCATAGGACAATAAACAGGAATTTTCTCACAATCATATTGTAAATGTCGATTAATATCATTAACTGTAAGAAATTTTTCTTCACAATAGGCGCATATTGGATTTGGATGAATTTCATCAAGATGATCCTTTAAAATATATATTTTAATATAGAACAAAACAAAAATAAATATTTACTTGATATTTCTTCAATATATCTGTCCAATTACAAAGTATACACACAATTAATAATGTTTGCATATCATTTCTAAAACCTCGATCGAGTTTTACTTTTTCTCGAGATGTTTTCTGAAAACATTCACCACATATTATCATATTACTTTAAAGGCAAAAAATGTAATTCAATCGATCACATATATATAATTTACCCTTTTTGTTCATCAATACATGATTGACACAAACGATGACCACAATCAATGAGTTGAACAGGATCACGCAATAGTAATAAACATTTCGGACATATGAATATGGATTTAATAGAATCTATATTTTGTATTCTAAAGCCAACCATCGTTTTTTAAGATCTAAAACAGTTTCTACAAAAATACTTTTATAAATTAGTCATTTCTTTAGATTTAACTTCGTTTTTATACTTATCAGTATAATTTTATAAACGGCTTTTCAAATATATCAAAAAAATTTATGAATTTTTACAATGCAAGTCTTATATATATATTTGTTTTTGACTATGATTTATACGCATTTATAAAAGAAAAAGAAAGAATCGTAATAGTACGAGGGGTTGTTTTTGTCGTCTTATATATACAAAAATACGAAGTGAAAGAAAGGAAAAAGAATATGTTGGAAAAAACCCAGTGAAATAGTTTTTTGCGATGTTGTTATGTTTTTTTTAGATTTATATATGAAGTCGTAAACATTTATATTACGTTCTTGATTTTTCTAACAATAGTATATTTTTTGATATTTAAAAGTGCATTTAACGATTAAATCCTAGTGAACCGAATAGATATCCACACACTCACTCACAAAAGATGCACTAAAAAGAGTTGAATAGGTTTAATTGATCATTGATATCATGACTAATGTTAAAGAACTGACTTAGAGTCATACACTTGTTGTCAATACTAGTATTATGTTTGAACTTTAGAGAGTTCACGAAAAAAATCCGCCGATTGGCGAAGTTCCAGTAGTCTTGCTCAAAATCTTACCTATATCGAATTTGCGTAAAGTAACTTTTTCGTATGATATAACAGCTAATAATTTATTACACGGATGTGTTTCTTTATATATACTGCGCATTTGATAATATAGTCATAAAAAAACCCAATCTAGAGGAAGTAAATATGAGTAAGCGTAGATTGAGGATGTATGATTCACCGTATGATGACATTTTCTTTATCTTGTACTCTGTAAAATAAAAATAAAGAAACGTTTATCTTTATCTTTATCTTTCAAGAATAAGAATAAAAAACACTAAAAGAATTTTCCTTTACATGATAAATAAAGATTTTATTTTCTTAAGGTGCATCAAAAACCCACTTACTCATACTTCACTCTCACCTATATAAGATGCACACAAAGAAAGTTTGCTGTAAAAAAACTTTTTGCTATTTTTTAGATCATTCAATAGATTAAGTTATGGTGATATCGAATATCACTTCTTCGACTCATAAGGGTGTGGGCAAAAAGAAACAGAACACATTCACATCCTCAATTCTACTGTTATTTTTTATTATTATTGTTTAACGATAAATATATATTTTCTTTATCTATATTGTAGAGAATATAAAACAGCATTCATAGTTGCAGAAAAAAATCAAACATTATTACAAAAAACGTGTGTGATGGGCAAACACAATTCAAAGCACAGTTGGATAATGTCATGTGCAGGTGTCAAACCTCCCCATTCATTATCGAACACGGATAATACTCCAAAGCCAGTGCCTAGCCGCTCGCAACCTAGTATTGATGGTAACTTTCGTGACCAGGGAGTTGGTTCAAATACAGGTATGAAATCTAAAACTTGCGGAATAGATACTTTTCCTTCATTAAAGGATGGGAAAGTTACTATGGGAAATTCGACTGTACAAACTATGGTCCCTGATACGAATTGCAAGACAGATGGTTTTCAAGTGCAAACTAAGAGCGAAAAACCAAGCTTAGATATATCGGTGATTGATTCGTTCTGTATAGATCGAACCCGAGGTAATTTGTATATATATTGCTTGAATAAAAATAATAATAAGATAGGACTACTTACTTTGAGCGATTTGTCGAAGAGAGATTAGGAAATCAAAACATTTCTACTTGTTTTGCCTGCTGTGTTACACAAAAGAGAGGTTGATTTTAAATTCTGTTTAGTATTGAAAAGACCATAAACTTTGAAGGCCTCCGTAAATAGTTTTTTGTTTTTCTGCTACTATACGACAACTACTGTTGACTCAGATATTCATCGAACGTAGAAGTATGAAATTCTTGGTAATCTCTTTACCAAAAAATTTATCAGCTAAACTATAGACTTGAATTCTAATTCAATTCTATAACATTAACTGCTGAGTATTTGAATTTAGATAAACCGGTAACACAAACAAGAATTGAAACCGTATCTCAACATTCAGTGAAACACAACTGTACTCTTTGCAGTTATAGTGATGGTTTTTCCCGTTGTTACTTTGTTGAAGAACGCTATGGTGGTACTTATTACCGTCCCGATATTTTTAGTCCGATTTGTTATTGTAATTGTCATCATAGTAGCGCTATTAGAGGTACCGCTACTAGATATACCGCTGATGATGACGATTTATACAATTAGACTGTGATGGAGATGAGAAAAAATCTATCTTTTTCTTTTCTAATATACCAGAGCATATACTTTTTTTTATACTTATAAATCAATAAACGCGAAACAAAAAGTTAGACAACTATCTTGAAGGTGTGGGTGTGGGCGGATATGGATGTGGGTGTGGGCGGATATGGATGTGGGT